GAGCCCGGTGGCGGGTGGTCGGTGTGGCCCCGCATGGGAGGCAAGAGCTTCGAGGGCTTCCTCGGCTACGGCTACCAGCGGGTGCCCCGCGGCAGGGGCGGGGGCCACGGGCCAGCCTCGATCATCCCATCCGCGGCCCCATCGGGCCATGGGGCCTCAGCCCCTTCTCATCCCCCCCCCTCCCGTTGGGGACAGGCCCCGCGAAACCCGAAGGGAACAGCCTGTGTCCCCATCCAGGGCGGTAAATCGGCCAGTGGGGCCCAGCCAACGCCAGTTGGGATAGGGATTGGCTAAATTATGCTCAATTGGCGCGAGTGGAAGCGAGCGGGCTTGCGCCGCCTCAGCGCGGCAGCGACGCTGGCGCGGGCGCGCCAGTTCGGGCCACGTTCAGGAGGGCGTTTTCTGCCGCTCACGGTCATTTCCTCCGCCGCCTCTTTGTGGCTTAGGGGTTCCTGCGGCAGCCTGCGCAGACGCAGGCGCGGGAGCGGAAGAGAGTTCAAAGCTGAGCCCCGCACCTCTGCCCCTATCCGAAAACAACCTGTCGATAAAGAGAGAGAGATATATATATAGAGAGAGAGAGACAGAGATAGAAAGAGAGAGAGAGAGGCGGTTTATTTTGGACCCGGACGAGTTTGCTTGCATGGCACGTCCCCCCCATCCATCCCCCCTCGCACCTTGCCCGCCCTTTTCAGGCAGCGCTGGACCGACAAGGCGCGCAGGTGAGCCCGGACCTGCGTGAAGCCCAGATCTCCTTTCGGGCCTCGCCTCACCGCGCCTCGCCTCGCTTCGCCCCCGCCCCCGCCCCACCTCCCCATGCAAGCGGGCGTGCCGGGGTCGACAGCTCTCCTGTGCTCGGCTGCGTTCTTGCTCTTATGGACACTGCGCAGGCCCAAGGGAAGCTTGAGAGGTCCCTTCCATGTGTTTTCCCCGGTCACTTGCGGATTTGGTGCTCGCGCTGTCAATGCTCTGCTCTCCTAGGGCTTTGCAGCGTCGTCCGCACCTTGCTTCTGCATGTCCGAGCTCCGTAGCTGCCTGCACGCCCTCCTGTGCTCAGCTGCGTTCTTGCTCTTATCGACACTGCGCAGGCCCGAGGAAAGCTTGAGAGGTCCCCTCCAATGTGTGCGTCCAGGACGCCGTACGCCCGGACTCTGCCAACCCGGCGGGAGAGAAACGACGCCCACGGCTGCTGTTTTTCCCAACCATCCTGTGGTGTTGGGTCCTCGTTTTGAAGAGACGGTCCCCGCGTCACCTCCTCCCGCTGCCCCCTCCTCCTTCCTTCCTGCGTTTCACCCACCAAGTACAGCGCTTCGTAGCCCCATAGGGAGCTCCACCGAAGGCCCTGGTTCGCATGGCGGCCTCGGGCCATTTCGGCACACCCCTCTCGAGGATCGTGGCCCCATGGGGAGCTCCACCGAAGGGTCCAGTGGCAGGGTTCGCATGGCGGCCTCGGGCCATTCCGGCACACCCCTGACGAGGATCGTGGCCCCATGGGAAGCTCCACCGAAGGCTCCAGTGGCAGGGTTCGCATGGCGACCTCGGGCCATTCCGGCACACCCCTGACGAGGATCGTGGCCCCATAGGGAGCTCCACCGAAGGCCCCAGTGGCAGGGTTCGCATGGCGGCCTCAGGCCATTTCGGCACACCCCTCACGAGGATCGTGGCCCCATAAGGGAGCTCCACCGAAGGCCCCAGTGGCAGGGTTCGCATGGCGGCCTCGGGCCATTTCGGCACACCCCTCACCAGGATCGTGGCTCCATAGGGAGCTCCACCGAAGGCCCCAGTGGCAGGGTTCGCATGGCGGCCTCGGGCCATTTCGGCACACCCCTCTCGAGGATCGTGGCCCCATAGGGAGCTCCACCGAAGGCCCAGTGGCAGGGTTCGCATGGCGGCCTCGGGCCATTTCGGCACACCCCTCACGAGGATCGTGGCTCCATAGGGAGCTCCACCGAAGGCCCCAGTGGCAGGGTTCGCATGGCGGCCTCAGGCCATTTCGGCACACCCCTCACGAGGATCGTGGCCCCATAGGGAGCTCCACCGAAGGCCCCAGTGGCAGGGTTCGCATGGCGGCCTCGGGCCATTTCGGCACACCCCTCACGAGGATCGTGGCCCCATAGGGAGCTCCACCGAAGGCCCCAGTGGCAGGGTTCGCATGGCGGCCTCGGGCCATTTCGGCACACCCCTCACGAGGACCGTGGCCCCACTGGAGCTCCACCGAAGGCCCCAGTGGCAGGGTTCGCATGGCGGCCCCGGGCCATTGCGGCACATCCCTCACGAGGATCGTGGCCCATAGTTGTGCTGCTTCAACAACAGCGCCTGGGCGTCGTACTCCGCCTTGTCGACGTGCAACGCCACCTCCTCCCTCATGGCTCTCAAGGCCCTCTCCTGCTTCTGCTGCTCGGTCAGAGGGACGCCGTCCTTGTCGTCGTCGGCGCCCGCGAAGACGGCCACGAACGTGTCCCTGAGCATGTCGGGCTCCGGCGGGAAGCCGTGGCCACATAGGGAGCGCGGGCGAAGATGGTATTCACAATTGCGGTATTCACAGCTGCATCTGGTTGGGTCCTTCGCCAGGCTAATTTTGGGCGCGCCGGCGACCTGGTCTGTCAAGGTCCCCGCTTCCGGGGGCCAGCGGCACGTTGGCCCACAGGGAAGGTCGAAGCAGAACGCCCCGCGGAAATGAACGTCATTACGACTCTTGGGACCTTGGGGGGTCATGAGGTCTGGATGGGGTCGAGAAGCCCGAAGCCCGATGCCCCAGCGGAGAGCGCAGAGAATTCGCGCCCCCGGCCGCGGGGCATTAACCTTTCTCCCGCCACCACTATAGAGGAGCCTTGCACGTAACTCAGAAGAGGAAAAAACACACATACACAATGAATCCTCGATTCCTCCGAAAATATTGGAAAATATAGGAGGTGTGTGGGGGGGGGGGAAGACAGAAACCCACAAAAAATTAGAAAATATGGGGAATCTTTTCGTTTGTGTGTATCTATTTGTGTGTCCTGGGTCGGCCCCTGGCGCGCGCGCCCCGCGCGCCCAGGGGGAGGGGGGCCCGGCGCCGATTGCATGCTTCCCGCGTGAGGTGCCGAGGGCTGCTCCCTAAAGCGCGCTCGCACCTAGGACGTCTTATTTGTTCGGAGGTGGACGGACCTCCTACCCTGACGCGTCGATTAAGGAATTGGCCGTTTTCGGTTCGCGAGGGGGCGTCGCGGCCGTCATTTCTGCGGGTTCAGGTCCGTCGGTTTCGGTCCCAGGCCGCTTTCACTAAGGGGAGGTCTACTAAAGGGAGGTTTGTCCACCGCCGACTTGTGCCACTCCGATGAGTTGGATGGGTCTGCCGAGGCTTCGCCGCGTTGCCGCCCGTTGCCGCCTATGTGGGGGTAGACCGAGGTTCGCCACGTGGCTGCTCGCTGCCGCCTGCGGGGGTGTGCCGACGTGTCGCCACGTAGCCGCCCGCTGTCGCTTGTGTGGGTATGCCGAGGATTCGCCACGTTGCCCGTATGCCACCACAGAGGTTTCACCAGACAGCTTGCACCACACAACTTGCACCACATATTTCACACATGCACGGCGAAGTAACTTACTGTTTGGGGTCCACACTGGCTAACATTGTTGAGACCTGTACGTCGTGCTTTACTCTTCCGCAAGGGCTCATGGCGTAGAGTCCATTGCCAGAGGTGGGGGTCGAGGGGCATCTCGGGGAGGAACCCTGGCCGCGGAGGCCGTTCGAGGCCGAGCGGTCTCTCGGACGGTCTCTCGCAGCGTCGGGGGCGAGCGCCCGAGTCGTCCACGGCAGGAGTCCGCCATGGACGTGGGAATGTGGGGAGCAATTCCTTATCCGCCTCGTTCCCCGCATTCCTCCTCCTCCTCCTCCTCCTCCTCCTCCTCCTCCTCCTCCTCCTCCTCCTCTCAGCTCTCTTGTGCATGGGGCGCACTTGGTAGAGCTTCGGGGCGTCTCTCCGCCGACGCCTCGGCGGCCAGGCTACACGCCCCGCCGCTCCGGGCAGGTAGACCCTCAATCGATGTTGGAGGGCCCGGCATCCATAGAATCATCACTCAGGGGTCACATGCTCTTCCGCCTGCAGGACTGGCGACCCCCTAAGCGCCTTTACTTTACCTCTCAACTCCTCCTGATCCCTCTCCGCCTCGTCCTCCTCCACCGCGCGGTTCATATTGATAGGACAACACGTTGTGAATGTTGCGGCGCCTGCTCGCTAGGGGGTTGTACTCATCTCCTCCAGCGGCAGTGCCTTGGGAAGTCCCTCGTTCCGACAACGTCCGCAAACCACGTGCGCAGCGTCGCATGCTCCCGTGCGGGACTCCATCCGAAGTCTGCAGACCCTTCTGCGGGAAGGAGCCCCGCGGCGGCTCTCGGAGCCGAGGCTGCTTGCCCGCGCCCCCAAGCGGTATTCGGTGACAGTGGCATGCCGCCACGTTCGCACATTGTTTTGCTCTGGGCCCGCCACGCTTGGTGCTGAGCATCGTGCGATAGTCGGCGCTGCCTGGTAAGCAGTCTTCGGCTCGGGGATGTGATTTTATGTACCTCCGAGGTGCGGTCCTCCGCATCATTTTCATATACCATTTTTCTGACCAGCCACGCCTGCACTGCAGCCGTCTCCGCAGGAGGTGCGTACCTCCTTCTCCCCCTCTCGGCTCCTGCTCATACCGTGGTGTTCCCAAACGCAGCGCCTGCTGGGGTAGGGAAGCTGCGTCTCTGACGGCATTCAGGCGCTACCTTTTTCATAGCCCTGCAGTCGACAACTCGGACAGCGCCCTGGAGAATTGCTTGCTTGCCTGCCTCCTCCTCCTAACTCCTCTTCCTCCTCCACCTCCTAACTCCTCGTCCTCCTCCTCCTCCTCCTCCTCCTCCTCCTCCTCCTCCTCCTCCTCCTCCTCCTCCTCCTCACCATCATTATCCTCACTCTTCTCGCTGTGCAGTCCGCCAGAGACGGCCATCCTTGCATCGGTAGCCGCTGTTAGGTGGAACCTGCGCATGCGAGAGCCTTAGCAGGTGCCATCTCAGCACATGAAGGCGCGGCTCGCATCGGTTCTTGTCTTGTCTCGGGGGGGGGGAACATAGACAAGGAATCCTCGAATTCCCCAAACACGTGGGAAAATACGAAAATATGGAAAGTTGGGGGGGTCCACAACATATTGGAAGATATGGGGAGCCCTGGGATTCGTGTGTATTTGTGTGTGTCCCTGGGCCCCTTTCTTGTCGTGCCCCCACCGCGCACAGCGCGTCGGCCGAGCTCTGCTCTGCGCGGCAGAGACCTCCCTCCCGGGCAGGTGCGCGCCGAGGGCGGCCGGGTCGCGAAGGACATCGTCCCGGAGGAGCGCCCGGGGGGTCTTCCGCCAGGCACCAGCCTCGAGTCCGGCACGTGTTGCTACAGGAGAAGTGCTCAGCGATGATCAAGAAATAGTTTGGGGGACGAGGTTTCCAGTATGGTTCGGCTGGTCCCGGGCATTTTGTCGACTGCTTTCTGCCTTTCCTCGGAAATCTGCCTGTAGGAGGACATGCCCGACCTAACACCAGCCTTGAGTCGGGCACGTGCTTCTTCAGGAGAAATGCTCAACGATTGTCAAGGAATAGTTTGGGGACGATGTTTCTAGCATTGTTTGGCTGGTTTGGGGTCTCTTGTGGACCACTTTCTGCTTTTCCGCGAAAGCCTGCCGGTAGGAGGACATGCCCGACCTAACACACACCAGCCTCCGGGCCCGAAGATCGATGTCTGAAGCGCGCTTGCAGCTTGGCTTCGGCGGCTCGGCCTCGGCCTGTTCCTGTCGCCAGCGTGGGATTGGGAAGCGCTTGCCTGACATGACGAGATGGGGAGGCACATGGAAGCAACGGGTCCATCCGAGGCGCGCAGGCGCACCCGCCGTTACCTGCACGCGGGACGCCTTCTGGGCGACGTCGGCGCCGCTCCGGCTCCACTCTGGGGCTCGAGGGTCGCAGGTTGAGGATGGAGATTGTTGGACGTCGCTGGCCTCGTGTGGGCCTCCGGGGGTCCTCTGGGGGCCGCTGGAGACGTTCGGGGAGCTCCGCGAGCCGCGAATACATCTGGCAGGCGCAAAGATTACCAGCCTGGAACATATCCCTATCCCTATGCTGGGCACTTCCTCATCACGATGCCAAGCTTAGGGATTCCCTTTTTTTCTTAGGGATAGGGATACGTTCGAGGCTGGTAAAAGAAGGACCTCCCCTGGCCTTCCACGGGTCGAGACGCTGATGTCTGGCGTGGCTCTCGGCAGATGCCGGCGAAGGGCGTCGAAAATTGACCACTCGGCAGGTGACGGGGGTCAGCGTAAACTTACCAGCCTCGAACGTATCCCTATCCCTAAGATTGACACGCCAAAAGGCGACGACAATCTTATGGATCCGCCTCAAAAAATAAGGGAATCCCTAAGATTGGCATCATGATGAGGAGGTGCCCAGCATAGGGATAGGGATATGTTCCAGGCTGGTAATAAACGGCGCTCAGCTGGAGCGCCAGATCTTGCAGGATCCTGGAAGTCTGGATTTGGACTGAGCCGAGCTTGGCAGCCGTTCGCGGCTTTAGAGGTGCCCTTGCACATTGGCTGAGCCAGGTTTGGAAAGCCGCCGACGCCCCGAAGGACACGTTTTTCTAAATTGGTTGAGCACAGCTTGCGCTGAGCCAGTCAAGTCTACGCCCGGCGAGGGCGGTTCCGCCGGCGGAAGCCGGCGAAAGTGACAGATGCCGCCCCAGCATGGATTTTGGATAGGACCATATAAGACGAACAGCCGTGCGAGGGTAGTGTTGTTGGCAGCTGTGGGTGTCGAAGAATGGGCACACCAGGCCAGTTCATCAAGATTGCGAGCCGTCGCAAGCGTCCGGTGATCTCATGCAAAGCCAGGTTTGCTAAGTTCGCGCTTATACGGGGGGCGGCGGATTTGCTTTACTCCCAGATGTTCGGTCATGTCCCATGACCTTGACCCCCGAGTTTGGAAACCATGGTAGACGTGGACGCACCGTAGGCACATTGAACAGCAGCTTGTGTTTGTTAACGAGGTGGCCCACGGCGACCCACCATTTATCATCAAGATCGAAGAGCCGATTCCAGTGGCGCTGCCGCGCTTCGCCATCGTGCCGAGGGGGTGGGGGCGGCGAGGGCCTGAGGGGCGGCGAGGGGAGATTTCTGGCGGGTGATATGACGAGGGGGGGGAAGCGAGCGAAGCAGCCATACGCAAAGCGCGCGTGGGCAAGACAATTGGCGAGCGTGCGAGCTACGCCAAACGCGTTAGCTGGCGGACAGGAGGCGCCAAACGCGCGACAAGACAAACAGCAACGACGCGCCAAATGCGCGCCGGGAGGACGAGGAGAGGAGGAAGATGACGACGAGGGGGGGGGCCTCTCTGAAATGCTCACTTGCCCGCGCATGCAACACCTGCACCACGGCACAGCTCGGCATGCTGACACGGACGGCGCTCGGCAGGCGCATATGTTGCACGCCCCGCTTCGGCCCCTGCCCAGAGTCTCAATGTTAGGACAACATTGACTGGGGACCAGGCCCTCCTCCGCTGCCTCCTACGCCTATTGGTGCACGGCCCCTTCGCAACCGCAGCCCCAACACGAGACGTCGCAGCGGTTGTGAACTGAAAAAGGTTGGGAACGGCGCAGAGGTAATGGACCCCAGGAGCAGCACATGGCATTGCATTGCGTGTCTTAGCTACAGGTGATGCCGACGTGGGAGTAATTGAAATCAAATGGGACCGATATTGTCCATCAGCCATGATGGGGGTCTGCTTTACTGTATGGCGTGACCTAATCTATGAGCTGGACTGCACCGCGGGGTGTCGGAGCTCGTCCGTCTACGCAACTGCTTGCGGCAAGTCCCGCAACCGTCTCAGACTTGAGGAGCGCACAGGATGTTGTAACGTGTGTCACCTCGTGCCCCGAGGCTTGTGAGCCGTGCAAGACGCGTTTCCGCATCGGGTCTCTTTTTATTTATGATATCTGTCGTCCCTCGCCCTCTCTTGGGGTCTCTCGAGTGCCTCTTGGGGGCTCGTTGGACCGTCTCAGGGCGCGCTTAGGCAGCCTGTCGCCTTCGTAGTCTATCTTCAGGGGCTCCTTGGGCCGTGTTGGAGACCTCTTGGGGCCCTCGAGGGTCGTCTTGAGGGCATAGAGGGCAGTGTTGGAGGACACCTGGGCCATCTTGAGATCCTCTTGTATCGTCTTTTGGCCATACTGGCGGCCTCTTGGGCCGCCTTGGGCTGACGGGAGGACGGCGACAACTCGAACATGCGTCAAACCTCGAAGAGACATTAGTTTGTTTGACCGCTTCGGACCCCCATGGAGGTCCCGTTGGAGCCCCCTGTGGCTGCATTATTGGGGCTCTGAGCGGGCCCGGCTTCTCCCTCCCCACCCGCCGTCTCCTGGCGCCTCCTCCTCCTCCTCTTCGTCCTCCTCCTCCTGCATGGTGACCTGATTCGCGTTCAGTGCACCCCACCGGCGCCTCACTCGCCAGCGCAGTGACTCTGCCTAGCAGCCGACGCAATAATATGACTGGGCCTCGTGAGACATTGGGGGGGGGTGGGGGGGCACACCGTCCCGTCTTGGCGGCCTTGGGCCGTCTCGGAAGGCACCCTGGGGCATGCTCCAGGCCGTGGAGCGAGAGCGCCGGGGAGGCGCCACGCCGCCCAGGAACTGCTGCGAGGGGCGGAGATGCCCTGGACGTGTCTAGGGCGGGGGGAGGTGAAGACTGACGAGCTTAGCTGCCTCGATACGCCCGTTTTGATACGCGACACACGTGCCGTGCTCAAAACGTCCATGTCAATACGTTGCGTGTTGGCTCCACGTATTGGACCACGTTTTGGCGAATGTATCGCGTCGAACCTACGTTTTCAGCCTACGTGTTGAGCTCCGTATCAATACGATACGTGTTGCGTGTTGCGTATCGGGGCAGCTAAGCTGACGAGGTAGACCCAAAGGCCCTTGGGCAGACGTTGTCCCGAATTTTCTGACGGACGCAGGATGTCAGGAGCCAGGGCCGGATGTTTCCGGCCATGGGGAGGCTCTGGAGGAGGAGAGCACGAAGTGCAGGATCGTGTGTGTGTGTGTGTTGTGTGTGTGTGTGTGTGTGTCTGTGTCTGTGTCTGTGTCTGTGTCTGTGTCTGTGTCTGTGTCTGTGTCTGTGTCTGTGTCTGTGTCTGTGTCTGTGTCTGTGTCTGTGTCTGTGAGGGCTGCGGTCCCTGCGCTCCACCCCTCGCGGGTCTGCCTCTGGCTGGCCGGACACGGCGCGCTCTCGCGCCACCCGACTTCCCTGAGAGCTGCACCGCGCCTCAGCGCGACAGAGGGCGCGGTTGGCTGGACTGCCGGGCTGCGCCGCGGGAGGGTGTTGGAGCTTGTCGGTGGGTTGGAGGATCGGATCTCGAGGCCGTCCTGGAGCTCTCGTCGGGAGGCTTTGGCCCGTCGGAGGGTCCTCCCGCTCCCCTCGCTGCCCTCCCCGTCATCCACGCCGTCATCCTCGTCGTCCGCCGCCGTGATCGTCGCCGTCCCCATTCTCTCCTTATGTCCCCCCACCGGTCCCATGGACGGAATCGGCGCGTCCCGCTCTTGTCCGATCTGGCTGCTGGATTGCGCCACAGGATGGTTTTGGAGTTTGTCCACTGGCTGGACAAACGGATCCCGTGGCCATCTTGGAGCTCTCGTTGGGAGGCTTGGGCCCCTCTCAGGGAAAGTCGATCTCTGCAGCCCCTCGCCGAGAGGGGTCAGGATTCTCGTTTCCCGGAAAAGCAAGAAGCGCTGACAGACAGCCATTAAGCATCCTAAAGCGCCTCAGCGTGTCGAGGGCGGTTTGGCGGAGCACTGGCGCACGATACTTGATCTCGGCCAGTCGGCGTTCAAGCCGGTGACGGTTATGGTCGTTACGACGCCTTGGTCCAAGGCAAACAATCACATTTTGCAGTTGTTGCAATGTTCATTATATAGGCCGTTCGCGCACTTGGCGTCCGAGCTTTGAGCTCGGGCGTCTGAGCATTGAGCTTGAATCTCGGGCGTCTGAATGTTCAGCTTGAATGGCAACACGGTTTCAGCAAGTAGGTGATGGGAACACATTGTTCTCAACGAGTTCAGGAACACCAGTCAAACATGTATCAAAGCCGACGGCGCTTGCATTATTTATCCATCTCGCGCAAAGACTACAGACAGCGATATCGTAATGGTTACCATGTACCCCGTCGGCTTGAGTCGTGTGAAAAGAGCTGGTCTGTAGCCATTTGGGCTCAAGCCACTTCTGGATCAAGCCGTCGTTGCCCAAGCTTCCATCAGCCCCCAAATTGTCACGTTCCTCCCGCTGCACGGCGCGATGCCTGGCTTGGTGTCCTGTGCCTGCGGCTTGTTTGGCGTGGCTGCGGCACTCGGGGCCGTCAAGCTGGCTGGGTTCGTGCGCCGCATCCAGGGCTACAAGAGCACCGCCAAGAGTGGTGCTCTTGCGGCGCCCTCGGGCTTCGCCATCGAGGGCGCAGCAGCTGCAAGAGCCAAGGAGCTCCGGTGGTTTGTGATCGATGACCAGGTCATGGGCGGCAAGTCGCAGTCCGCACTCACAATGACAGATGCTGGAATCATCGAGTTCGCTGGCACGATCAATTCGACCGGCGGAGGATTCTCAAATTGCCGGACATTGGGGGACGAGGAGCCGCTTGGCTTCCCAGCCGGTGCGCGCTCAGTTGAGGTGACAGCGGTCGGGGACGGAAGGCAGTACATGTTGACCTTGCACACCGCGGACTCCTGGGCCATGTCAGTTCCGTCGTGGGCGCATGCCTTCAGCACCGCGCCCTCAGGCCGAGAGCAAACCCACAGACTGAAGCTGAAGGACTTCGTGCCGAGAAAGCAAGGGCAGGTGGTGAAGGGGATTGAGCTGGACCCCACCAGTGTGACGGGCGTTGGCCTCAGCCGCACTCGCTTCGGGCTCAACGGCAAGCCCATCAAAGATTTCGAGGACGGGCCGTTCAAGGTGTCCCTCAAAAGGTTGGCGGTCGCATAGTGAGCGTCAGCTGGAGCACAGTTTTCTGTCCGAGGCAAGCCCCTTTGACATGCCGGCTCCGCATGCGAGTTTCTCGGCAATTGCGCAGGAAGACAAAAACACGCTTGGAGAGCAGTTGTTCTGGTTTTCTGTGTAGTGTGTAAATTTGTCGCGCATCGGGTATACAGGAACTGCCCAACCGTGAATAGGAAGGCCGTTTCAGCCAGCTTCCTGGGGTCTGATCAGAGTCTGATCTTGGGCAAGGGGTGCGAATCAGGCTGGTCAGGCTTAAGCGGTTCAGTCCATGAGACCCATGTCTAGCCAGAGCCATGTCAGCATGCGATTTGATCTGGCAGTTCTTCCAGAAAGTAAGTCGGGCAAACATGGGTCGGCCAGTGAAACATCATGGCACGCGTCTATGCGCACTGCCGCTCCTAGCCCACGCAGTGGCGCCAGCTGGTGCGCCCACCGCGGCCGGCCGAGGCGTTGCGCGGCGTATCCCGGTCTGCTCCACGGGTGGCAGCCTCGTTCTGCGCTGTTGCTGTTGCCGCTGCCGTCACGGCAGGCGCTCCTGCGCTGCTGCTGCCGTCGGGGCTGTCCGACCTCGGCGCGTCGACGTGCGCACTGCGTGAGCTTCGCGCGGTGGCTGCGGTTGGTATGGCGGTGGTGCGTCCTGAGCTCGTGGTGGCTGTGGTGTGCAAGGGGTGGTGCGTCTTCTGGTGATGGCAGTGGTGGTGCTGGCCTGGTGATGGCTGGCGTCGGGGGGGTGGTGTCAGTGCTGGCAGCCACCCGTCGTAGGCAGTAGCGAGAACTCGTATCCGAAGTGTTGCGCCCTCAGCCGCCGTCCCCACTGGCTGAGCCATCTTGTGGTCGCACTGGGGAAGCTTGGTGACCATACAGTCGAAGTCGATGGTGGGGATGGGTCGACTTGCATCCTTGCCTTTTCATTCCGTCCTTGAACACTTTCGATGGCGAGCCCCGCTTGGAAAGCTACGTCATGGACGTCCAAGGAACTTGCACTACGTCATGGACGTCGAAGGCGCATGCATCCTTATCGCGCATCCTTACTATCAGTTTTGACTGTATTGGCCCATCTTGAAGCATCCGGGGCCGCCTGTGGGCCATCGAATCGCAATATCGGGGTTATGTTCGGGGCATCCAGGGACCATCTTGGAAGCATCTTGGGGCCAGAGTGTGGCATTGATGGGTCAGCCTGGGCGACTTGGGTGGCATATCGGGGCCTTTGTGAGGTCACCGTGGGGCCGTCTGGGGCGATCTCGGGGGCCCTGAAGGCCGACTTGATGACAGATCCGTCCACCTTGGTAGACAGCGGAAATCGACCAGGGATGGAGATCGACCTGGCAAAAGCTCAAGACAGGACAGCGATCTGGAAGCACGCTTCACAGCTATGCAATCCCACGTCCGAAAGCTTTTACCACTGTCAACGCTACTGCTAAGACGCAAGAGCCCTTGCGTGCATTAAGATATCCCATGTGAAGACCACGTGAACCCACGAAAACACCACACGAAAATGCACTCAAAGTAATACATGCCAATGTGTAATTAGGTGACCTCAAGTTTTCCTCACCGTGCTCGTCTTCTTCGGGTGTCTGCTCTCATTCCCCTTGCAACCTTGTGCTGCGAGAAAGACACAGGAAGCAGTCTGAACAACTTATAAAGGAGGGTCTCATGCGATGAGTTCAACTGATCAACATATACATGTGTATATATATATATATACACATACATACATACATATATATATATATATATATATATATATATATATATATCCGTAAGGGCTTCGCCCCCTGCCGCCGGCCCCCTCTCCATCAGAATGGGATATATCAGAGTCGCGTCGGTGCGTCTCGGCGCTGCCTTGGCGCATCTTGGAACATCATCAGCGCATCTTGAGACGTTGGCGTTATCCTAGTGGCCTTCGCCCCATCCCGCCATCGTGCCTGGGTTATGAGTCTGAGGCCCTTTGTATATGTGCTGGGGTGTCGTGGGGAGCCTCTCGGGGCCTCCTGGAGGCGGTTTGGGCGCCTCTTGGGAGCCTCTTGGGGCCTCGTGGGGTACATGGTGGGCCTCTCGGAGGCCTCTTGGGCGCGTCTTGGGAGTTTCTCGGGGCCTCTCGGCGGCCTTCTTGGGGCTTCTCGGGGCTTCTCGGAGCGCTTCTTGGGCCATCTCGGAGCCCTCTCGGTCCGTCGTGGGGCCTTCTTGGAGGCGTGTTGGGCTGTCTTGGGGCGGTCTTGGGAAATTCTTGATGCGTCTTGGAGCGTCGGAAAGCTGCAAATGCGAGAAGACCAAAATCCTTCAAGCACTTTCGTAACATCGACGAAGTTGGCCTCTTGGGGCTCTCTCGGGAGGCCTCTTGGAGCGCACTTGGGGCCTCTTGGGGCCCTCTTGGGCCGCTTGGAAACATCTTCGGGCGCTCTGGAGCACTCTTGGTCTCGACAATGCGAATCTGGCGTAATTTGCGAGGGTTTATGGACTCGGGGACGCGAATGTGGTGTAAATCACGAAGGCTTGCTGCCGCGGGGAAGGATGAATTGTATAGGTCTGTTGCCTCGGGAGCGCAAGAATTGTATAAGTTACGATGTGGTGTGGCGTAATTTACGACGGGTTATGGCCTCGGGGGCGCGAATCTCATGTATTTGCACGCGTCCCACGCAACCCATATGAATTCAGGGAGCGCGATTTGGGCGTGGTACATTGCCGATTTGGGGCTCCCCCCCTCGCGCGGACCTCAACAATTGACAGTAGGAACCAGAAAGCAGGGTTGTAACATTGGAGACTTGAAACTGCAACTGGCGCGGGAAGCAGCACCCTCCTCCTACAGCCTGATGTGTATGTATATATACACACATATACAAGATTGCAGTGGCGCTTCGCGCCATGCACCTTGCTCCTTGAAGTTTGGCACGCTGGCGGAATAGCAGGAAGGTCAAGCCGACAATGTAGCGATAACTCCTTGTTGCCTTTTCCGGCATCGCCGCTATAATAATGTTTTTCGTTATCCTTCCTCCATTATTTTTGTTCCTCATTTTCGCCATACCCTGCGCATTCCCCCCATCCTCTCCTCAGCTCTTTTTTGCGGAGGCTCCTCCTTAGAGAGCCTCTGGGGGGGGCTTCACAAAAGTTGTTTCAGGCTTTCTCAAAGCCTTCTGGAGGCACCCTGGGCGTATTCTGAGGGCCTCTGGGGGCTTCCTCGGGCCACCCTGCCTCCAACCGCGGTATCCCTGAACGACCTGGTCACGATTTGGAATGCTTCAGAGGGTGTCTTGGGGCCATCTTGGGCCGCCATGGGGCTCTCTGAGGGCCATCTTGGACCCGTGTTGTGCCGTTTCGGGGCTCTCTTGGACTGCCTGGAAGCCCTTTCGGATGGTTGTGGGGCGAATTTGGAGCCTCCCAGGCGGCTTCGGACGCCCAGAAGACCGCCGTCTTGGAGCGTCGGGAAGCCGAAAAGAGGAGAACCCCAAAATTCAACAAAAACCAAAAGAACATCAATGATTTTTGCTTCTTGGGGTCTTCTTGGAAGTGCTCTTGGAGGCCTCTTTGGGGCCGTCCTGGAGGCCTCTTGGGCCATCTTGAGGTCACGTCAGTCACTCTTGGAGCGCTCTTGTGCTGTCTTGGGGGTCTCTGGGACGTCTCCGATGACCCCCCTGATCGCCCTAGGTGTGCTGGGAAGGCTTGGCAAAACGCCCTGCGAGGCCCGGGGGGCCGCTTCGAGGCCCGTCCGGAGGGTCCCAAAGCCCCAGATCCCGGGAGTCCTGTTTTTTGGGGGGGTCCCCCCGCCCAGGGCTTGCAAACACATAAGAAGAGGAATAGATGTATGGGTACACCTATAAAGATATTCATCTATCTGGACATATAGATATACGGATAACGCAGCACTGCGACAGAATCGCAGTCCATGCGAATACCTTAGGAAATCTTGCGAGCACCACGTGGATCCATGCGAGCACCACGTGAAACAATGCGCAAATACACAGGATAGCTCCCAAGGCTAATCTGCTGCATCCGTGCGAATTGCCCAGGAGGTCGCACAGTTCCTAAATGACAAGCCGCGGGCCGTGCTTGCAACGAGCAGGGAACTCGAATAGGCAGGCCTGTTGGAGGCGTTATTTTTTTCGGGGGCATGATCCTTAACGCCAATCACGCGCCCGCGCCCAGGCCGGCGTCGCCTCCTTCGGGGACTGCGCGGGGAGGCCCGCGTGGACCATGGCCGCGGCCCAGCGCCAGATGGCCACGCCAATGGCCGCCCCGTCACGGCGCTGCAGCGCCCGGTGGCAGCTGCGCAGCCCACGGCGCCACGCGGCCCGCAGCGCCAGCGTCCGCAGCACCGCCTGCTATTCCGGGTGGGCGCGACCGTAGGCGGACCACACGGTGGGAACGTACGTGATGCCCGCCGCCGCCAGCTCGGCGAGGTGGCCGCTGTCGTCGTCGAGCTTCCGGGCGGGCATGGCGTCGAGGCAGTCCTCGCCAGCGCCTTGTGCCCCCGGGCTGCGCACGCGGACATCCAGAGCCGCCAGACGACCCACGAGGGCCGCGCTGGCCAGGACATCTGCATGGCGGGGCAGTGGTGCTGACGGTATCAGCCCGGGAGATTCTGCTTCGGCGCTGGGGTCGGCTAGGTGCGCCAGCGCCAGAACTTCCGGGCCACTCGTAGAAGGGGAACTCGTAGAGGTAGGCAGGCTTGTTTGAGGCGTTCCAGAACAGGGCCTCGCTTTCGCGGGCCGAAGGAGTTGACATCGCATCTTCGGGGAAAAGGCTAGCGGAAGCCTGCGGAAATAAGTCGGCGGCTGCTCGTCCGCGGGAAAGCGGCGGGAAGTGGCAGAAGTAAAAGCGAGGCATCAGCATGTCTGGATCCAGGATTTCTGCAGTCGTCCATATATTGGCGGCGCGCACAAGGGGGTGGGGAGAGGGGGGAGGGCTTCTTAGAAGGAGGCTGCTTCTTAGAAGGCGCCGGCCTTACATCTATAGAGAAGGCCCGCGCCTTCTAAGAAGCAGGGGTGCTTCTAAGAAGCCCTCCCCCCTCCCACCACCCCCCTCTGCGCGTGGCCAAATATAGGTGCAGGTAGACCTGCAGTAGGCACGCCAAATAAGGATCCAGCCTGCTGGCAGGTGCCCCGCAGAAGCATCCTGTCCCCCCTGATAGCCTCGGGGCCCCACAGAAGGCCTTGGGGGACCTTATATGACACTCAAAGCTCGACGAATAATGTGGTCCAACATTTCTTCACGTATCCAGGTCTCTTACATGGGGTCGGAGTAGATGGGGTCGGAGGATCGCGCCGCATCGCCGATGCATCGGCGATGCGGCTCGATGCAGAGCCCGATTGTCCCCAGGCCGACGTCGCGGATGCGTCGCCGACGTCGCCGATGCATCGCCGACGCATCGCCAATACATCGCCGATGCATCGGTGATGCGGCGCGATCCTCGGACCCCATCTACTCGGTCCCCATCTAGGAGTCCTCTAACGTAGCAAAGCTTCTTCTTGTATGTCCTATCTTGTCGGGGAAACGTAAGACTCGACTGCGCCGGAACTCGGGCTTGGCGCCTCTTTCTGACGAGCGCGTCCTGGACTTTGACGGTCCAGATTTCGTGGAACGTCTGCAGCGGGAGCTCGCGTCGAATTTCAGAGTGGGTCTCGTCATTTTCCTCATGGCTCCGTCAGGGCCAACCCGAGTCCCCCGAACCCGAGTCTTACGTCTCCCCGACCTTGGGGAAAGCGAAGGAGTGGGACCTCGTGCAGTTCCCGGTGGCGCGCACGGGCGGGGCGGACGGGGGCGACAGCTTCTACACCGACGGCGACCGCGCCCACCGCGGCGACTACACCAACCTGGTCAGCAAGACGGGGAGGGGAGGGAGGCGGAGAGAGGAAAGGGAGGATGAGGAGGAGGGGGAGGATGAGGAGGAGGAGGAGGAGGAGCAGGAGGAGGAGGTGGAGCAGGAGGAGGAGGAGGTGGAGCAGGAGGAGGAGGAGGAAGGCAGGAGGAGGGAGGAGGAGGAGGAGGAGGAGGAGGAGGAGGAGGAGGAGGAGGAGGAGGAGGAGGAGGAGGAGGAGGAGGGGGGGAGGGGGAGGCGGAGGAGAGGGAGGGGGATGGAGGAGGCAGGTGGGAGCAGGGTCAGAGGGGGAAGCGACATTGATACCGCTTCCCCTTGGTTTTCGCCACGGTCGAATTCGCTTCGGGATGTATTGTCAGAAGGCACCTCACGAGACGCCCGTGGAGAAGCTGTATGGATATCTTGGCCCCCCAAGGGAGGGGGAGCAGAATGAGGAAGGAAGAGTCGTGGGTTTTAGTTTCACCCCGGATCCTGACTCGGGGCCTCCTGGGAGGCCTCTGGGGGCCTCGTGGGGCTCGACATGGCTTCAGAGACCCGAGATGGCGAGAAAAGTCGAAGCACTTCGCAACCGAGCGCAACCGAGTTCAGAGCAAAGTTGCAAATGTCATCCTCGGCCCTCGAGGGTCGAGGGCAAAACTAGCGACGCATCGGGGAGGAAGGGAGTGAGCTTGTGCCGCCTCGCTAGAACCAGCCCGGGAGGAGGAAGAGAACGAGGGGGAGGAGGAGATCCCCCCGTGGAGGTCGGCAAGACGTTCCGCTTCACCATCAGTGGCCTGGGCGGCCTCGACTGCGGGTGCAATGCCAACTTCTACGCCGTCCGCATGGGGGCGGGCTGCGACGGCTCGGGCAACAACGGCGACCTCTGCGAGGACGGCGGGCTTGCGGGCTGTGGGGAGGGAGGGGGATGAAGGCAGAGGAGGAGGAGGAGGACTAGAGGAGAACCAGGGTGCATAAGCGGTGTTGCAACACAGCCTCCCGTCCCGGAGTCCTCTCGTCACCAGTCCCTGCAGTGCAGCTGTAGGTTTTTTGAAAGCGCAATGGAGTAGCAAACGAGAGCACGTTTTGGGAAAGAACCGCCCTCTCTCCGATGGTATACTGCGGACGCTGTCTGGCCCCAGCACTTACGCAGTCGCATGCGAAAGTCCCTCAGTCCATATCTCTATATATATATATATATACACATCGGTAGATAAAAGAAATGTGTAAATGTCTATTGCACACTGTTGCACGTCCAGTCGTACGCCGCGAGGTTGTCTCGAGGGAGAGCACCATTCTGAGAAAAGGAACCGCACTTCATCCGTCTCACTGTTGGAAGAGGATTCCGCCGCTAATGGGACAGCCACGGCTCGAAAACAATTCGCCATCAAATCCTGCAGCATCTGACAGCTGTTGCAAAGTTGAACTTGTAAGGAGCCGAGGCAAGAGCCACACTCTGAAGCAGAGCCGCCATCAAGAACTGCAAGTGTTCCAAACAGTACGGCGACTGCGCGCCAAGGCGACAGCCACATGCTGAACACGGCCCGCCCCAGATCCTTGCATTTTCTGGGGACACGTATGACGAAGTTGCACGGCGCACGCCCTCCTTCCGCGCAGCTGGTGGGGGTCACAGCCTCCAGTGTGTGTTGCAAGTGTGAGTTCACAGGAGCACTCTTGGTGTCCTCTTGGGAGCAGTTTTGGACATCTCGTGAACCTCTTCGGGGTCTCGTCGGGGCCTCTTGGGGCCTCTTGGGGACCTCTTGGGGCATGAGGCCCATTCGGGTCTCTTGATGGCCTCTTGTGGCCTCTTGGGGGCCTCTTGGGGGCTTCATGGGGGCTTCGGGGCCGAGGGCTCAAAATATCCGCTCGGTTCCCCCCATCTGGGACCCCTCTTGGAGCCGTCTTTGGTGCCTTTTGGGCCGTCTTGTGCGACTCTTGGGCAGTCGTCGTGGGGCTCTCTTGGGCAGTTTAGGGGGCCCTGTTGGAAGCCTCTTGGGTCGTCCTGGGGCGATCTTCGGGGCCTCGAGGGCCGTCTGGGAGCGTCGGGAAGCAGAAAAGTCGAGAAGGCAAACAACGATTGAAAACTTCAGGAAAATGAGTGAGTTTGGCCTCTTGGGGCCCTTTTGGGAGGCCTCTTGGAGGCCTCTTGGAGGCCTCTTGGGCCGTCTTGGGGGCCTCTTAGGCCGTTTTGGGGCAATCTTGGGCATCCGGAGCGATCCTTCGGCGCCCCTGGGCCCTATCGAACCGTCTCGGGGGCCTCTTAAGGCCCTCTTGGCCCGTCTTTGGCTGACCCGAAAGAGTCACGCGAGAAGGCGAACCAAGGCCCAGGGGGTACGCGGCAAAGATTCCTCACGACTGAGAATTGGGGTCTCCGAGATTAGGCACAAGACTTCGGGACACGCCCACTCCGTGACCAGCGGCACGGTGGAAGATGTACGTGTATCTCTATATAGATGTACGTGCATGCTTATATCGAACCGTCTATCTATATATATATATATATACATACATATACATACATTTATACACACAGAAGCATGCATGCACACATACATGCATACATTCATACATGTGTACGTACACCTGTACACACATACCTACATACATGCATACATAACTACAAGCAAACATGTATGCACATACGTACATACATTTATACATACGTACGTATTTAATACATACATACATACATACATACATACATACATACATACATACATACATACTTGCATGCATGCATGCATACATATATACTTACATACATGCATGCATACATACATACATACATGCATACATGCATATATGCATCCATGCATACATGCATACATGCATACATGCATACTTGCATGCATGTATACACACATACACACATACGTACACACATACATACATACATACATACATGCATACATACATACATACATACATACCTATATGCATGCGTACACACTCATAGACCTACATACACATATCTATATATACAATTACATGCATGCATGCATACGTACATGCATACATACATACATGCATGCATGCATGCATGCACACATGTATGCACACACACGCATGTATACATACATTCAGACAAACATACATACAAACATACACACATACATACATACATACATACAGACAGACAGACAGACAGACAGACAGACAGACAGACCGACAGGCAGACAGATAGACAGACAGACAGACACACAGACAGACAGACTGACAGACAGACAGACAGGCAGGCAGGCAGGCAGACAGGCAGGCAGGCAGGCATGCATACACACACACATACATACACATACATGCATGCAATACATGCATGCATATCAGCATACGCGCATACACGCATCCATATAATTATATACATAGATGTGCAGAGGGAGAGAAAGCTATATCTGCCGACCCCCGCCTGTCAGGGTTGCAACGGCGTGTGGGATGAGTGGCTGTCCCCCTCCCCCAATTCCCTCCGCCTCCTCTGGGGGCTTGAAAGCCGATTAGGGGGGGGGAGGCCCGAGGGGTGCGCCCGGGAAAGGGAGGGAGTGGCGGGAGGAGGTCGCGCCAACGCATTCTCTTCTTGGCCTTGGGAGGCGCCAAAGGGCTCTATGCGGCCGAAGAGGGCCCAGGCAGAACGCACTCCCAAAAAGAGAGTCGAAACGGTCCAAGGTAGCCCGACGACGGTATCATATGGCTTCGGGACCGCCCACGAGCCCCCCCAAGACGGCCCAAGAGCGCTCCCAGAGGACCGCCGGGAGGGCCTCCAGAAGCGAACATCGTCCAAGTCCCTTTAGAGAACGTATATGTTTAGCATACACGGCTTTTCCTTTTGAGAGCGTCCAAGAGAGCCCAAGGGTCCCGACAGATCTTCCCAAGGCAGCCCCTGAGGTTCCCACGAGAGCCCCACGAAGGCCCAAGAAGGCCCCCGAACAGCCCTACGTGCCCCAAGACGGCCCAAGAGAGGCCCAAGCGGGGGAATACGAAGTGACATTTCGAGCCTGTCCAACCAAGACCCCAAGAGCCCCCCAGAGGCCTGCGGGGCGCTTCCAAAAAGACCGAAGAGGCCGCCAAGAGGTCCCCACGACGCCCCCAAGAGGTCCCTAAGATCCCCACAAGAGGCCCCAAATAACCGCCCGAGAGGCGCCCGACCCCCCCCCCTGGTGCCTCCAAGAGCTTTCAAAGACGCCCTTGAGGGGCATTCCGGGAGACCCTCATGCGTGCAAGATCGTGTCTCTCTCTCTCTCTCTCTTCACTCTCTCTCTCCCTCCCTGTCTCTCTCGCTCTCCCTCTCTGTCGAACCCCTTGTCCCTTTCGGATTTCCTCTTTCTCGCTCTCTCTCTCTCTCACACTCTCTCTCTCTCTCTGTCCCTCCTCCTTCTCCTCCTCCTCCTCCTCCCCCTCCTCCTCCTCCTCCATCTCACCCTCCTACCCGCTCCTCTGCGGAGGAGGGCTTTGCATGGAAGAGCGCGGCGTTTGCATTGTTGCCTGAGCCCGCCGACTTCCGCTTCCCAGGGCTGCAGGGTCGCGCGAGATGAGCGGCTGTCCTTTTGCCAAACATGTACCAATCAAGCATGGGTGCATAATTCTGAGGGTTCAGCATTGAGGGCCATGAATCGCCCTGGCAGTTTTGACGGGCTCCCCGCTTCGTCTGGGGGTCGGCGGAATACTTGTGAATATGCGTACGTGTATAGATGTATGCACTTGTATATGTAGAGAGACTACAACACACAAGAGAGGCGCTGCAGCGGCAATCAAGCGTGCGTCGGGCGAGACGGGGGGGAGTTGAGGATCTCCCTCATCCCTACGGGGGAGGAGACCGAGGAGGAATGGGAGGAGGGATGCTGGTGACGTTGATGATGGCGATGACGATGCCGATGGCGATGACGATGGCGATGACGATGACGATGACGATGGCGACGACGATGAACATGATGGCGATGACGATGATGATGATGATGATGATGATGATGATGATGATGATGATGATGATGATGAGTATGCTGATGATGCTGATGATGATGATGATGATGGTGACGACGGAGATGGAGATGGTGATGATGATGCTGATGAGGTTGGTGATCTTGATGTTAATGATGATGGTGGTGATGATGATGATGCTGGTGATGATGGTGGTTGGGATGAGGAGGATGCTGATGAGGATGACGATGCCAATGGTGACTATTACATTGCTGATACTGGTGATGCTGATGATGCGGATGATGATGCTGATGATGATGCTGATGATGATGCTTATGATGTTGCTGATGATGCTGATGTTGAGTGTGATGAGGATGATGCTTATGACGAGGCTGATTAGTGTAACGGCGATGACGATGGTGATGATGAGGAGGTTTATGATACTGCTGCTGGTGATGATGATACGGATGATGGTTAGCATGATGCTGATGATGATGATGATGGTGACTGTGATGGTGATGATGTTGGTGATACTGATGCTGATAACGACGACGACGGCGACGTTGACGGTTTTGGTGGTGGCGGTAATGTTGTTGTTGTTGATGATGATGTTGATGATGTTGATGATGTTGTTGTTGATGATGATGTTGCTGCTGCTGATGATGATGATGCTGATGCTGATGACGATGACGATGATGATGACGATGACGATGTGGAGGAGGAGGAGGAGGGGGGGAGGAGGAGGAGGAGGAGGAGGAGGAGGTGAAGAGGAGGAGGAGGAGGGGAAGAGAAGCAGAAAAAAGCGGAGGAGGAGAAGCGAAGGAGGAGAAGAGGAGGAGGAGGCGCGACGGGACATGGGAATTGGAGAAGGAGGCCGAGGGTGGATGAGCCTGGCCGTCGCTCCCCTTGTCCAACTCTGGAGGGCGCATGCCCCAACGGCAGATGTGCAGGGAGACGAGGAGGGGAGGTTGGCGAGGAGGGGCGCAGCTTGAGAAGGGGGTAAGGAACGAAGAGGGGGAGGAGGAGGAGGAGGAGGAGGAGGAGGAGGATAAGAAAAATAAGCAAGAGGAAGAGGGGGGGAGGAGGAGGAGGAGGAGGAGGAGGAGGAGGAGGAGGAGGAGGAGGAGGAGGAGGAGGAGGAGGAGGAGGAGGAGGAGGAGAGGAGGAGGAGGAGGAGGAGGAGGAGGAGGAGGAAGGAGGAGGAGGAGGAGGAGAAGAAGGAAAGGGAGGAGTTGGAGGAGGAGAAGAGGAGGAGGAGGAGGAGGAGGAGGAGGAGGAGGAGGAGGGGGAGGGGGAGAGAGGAGAAGGAGGAGGAGAAGGGAGGGGAGGAGGAGGAGGAGGAGGAGGAGGATCAGGAGCAGGAGCAGGAGCAGGAGCAGGAGGAGGAGGAGGAGGAGGAAGAGGAGGAGCAGTTGGGAAAGCAGGAGACGGAGGAGAAAAAGGGGGAGACGGAAGAGAATAATCGCAAGAGGATTGGTAGGGGAAGGAAGGAGTAGCAACCGCAGGAGAAATGAGGAGAGACTGGAAGAGGGGGCGAGCGAATGAGACGGAGGGTGAGGGTCAGATTGAGGTGGTGGTGCGGTGAGGGTCTCTTGTTCCTTTACCTGACGCCTTCCTCTTCCCCCCTTCCCCCACTTCCCCCCACTCCCTCTCAATGCAAGGAGGAATGGGGGCTCCTCCATCCATCCTCGTCTCTCTTTGCATCTCCTGGCGTCGGCCACACCCCTCCTGCGGGTGCCGATCACCTGCACCGCCCCCCTCAGAGGATGGGCAGAAGCCCGCAGTGGGGGGGGTTGGGGGGCAGAGGGAGGGAGGGAGGGAGGGACGGAGGGAGGGACGAGGACGAGGACGAGGGGGGAGCAGCATGAGGACGAGGACGAGGACGAGGACGAGGACGAGGACGAGGAGGAGCAGCATGAGGATGGCCTTCAGGAAATCGATTTCTTCGAAGGCAACAAGTTCGCATGGCACTCCACTCTCCACACGCTCGCAGACAGCGGGGAGACGGACGCAAACGGCCTGTGCACAGGCCAGGGTGGCTGGAAAGATGCGTGCAGTCTTCAGGGCGAGAGAGGGTGAGGGCAAGATAAGAAGGGAAGGAGGAGGGGCTTGAGGAGGGAGAGCGGGAGGAGGAGGAGGAGAAGGAGGAGGAGTAGGAGGAGGCGGAGGAGGAGGAGGCGGAGGAGGAGGAGGAAGAAGAAGAAGAAGAGGATAGTGAGGGAGGAGGAGGAGGAGGAGGAGAGGGAGGAGGAGGAGAAGAGGAGGAGGAGGAGGAGGAGGGGGAGAAGAAGAAGAAGAGAGAGGAGGAGAGTGGAGGAGGAGAAGAAGAGTTGAGAGAAGAGGAGGAGGAGGAGGAGGAGGAGGAGGAGGAGGAGGAGGAGGAGGAGGCGGGAGAGCCGAGGAGGAGGAGGAGAAGGAGGACATGGAGGACAGAGAGCACAATGACAAGATGGGTGTGAGAACGCGGTCCCCGGAGGTCTGAGAGCGCGGTCTTCGGATGTCTTTGGAGGACCCCAGGAAAGGGACACGGCGAGCGTTATAATATGTTGTAGTCGTCTTCTGAGGCGGCCATGTTAAGTCCTTGAGAACTTATTTGACGGAGAGACCCACATGACAATATGTTCAGCTTGCCTGAGGGTATCCTCGTGCTCCTTCCTCCTACACCCTCCTGCCTCCTCCTTCTCCTATTGCCTCATCCTCCTGCCTCCGCCTCTTTCTGCCTCCTCCTCCTCCACCCCATCTTCATCATCATCAGAATAATCCTCCTCCTCATCATCATCATCATAATCAGCATCATCTTCATCATCAGCATCACCATCATAACCATCATCATCATCATAATCATCATCATCATCATCATCATCATCATCATCATCATCATCATCATCAGCATCATCATCATCATTATCATCATCATTATCATCATAATCAGCATCATGCCTTCTCCTTCCTCCTGCCTCCTGCCTCCTGCCTGCTGCTGCTGTTGTTGCTGCTGCTGCCGCTGTTTCTGCTCCTTCTCCTCCTCCTTATCCATTTCTTCATTTCCTCCTCCTCCTCCTCCTCGTCCTCCTCCTCCTCCTCGTCCTCGTCCTCCTCGTCCTTCTCCTGCCTCCTCCGTCTCTACCTCCTCATCCTCTCTCATCTTCCTCCTCCGGCCTTTTCCTCCTCCTTGGGCCTCCTGGGCGCGACTGGAGCTTCCTTGCGTGTCTTCTGAGGCCTTCCGGGGCCTCCTGGGGCACACTTCATCTTCTTGCTCCTCATCTCCTCCTCCTCCTCCTCCGCTCCTCCTCCTCTTCCTCCTCCTCCTCCTCCTCCTCCTCCTCCTCCTCCTCCTCATCATCATCATCATCATTGTCACTATCAGCATCGTCATCATCACCAGCATTCTACCATCATCATCATCATCATCATCATCATCATCATCAGCAGCATCAGCATCAGCATCATCATCATCATCATCATCATCATCATCATCATCATCATCATCATCAGCAGCATCATCATCATCATCCGTATCCTTATCCTCATACTCATCCTCATCCTCATCCTCATCCTCATCCTCCCTCGTCCTGCCTCCTCCTCCTCCTCATTCTCCTCGTCCTCGTCCTCCTTCTCGTCCTGCCTCTTCCACTTCCTCCTCTTGTCTCCTCCACAACCTGCTCCTCCTCCTCCTGTCTCCCTCTCCTTCTCCTCCTTCTCTTCCTCCTCCTCCTCCTCCTTCTCCTCCTCCTCCTCCTCCTCTTGCCTCTTCCTCCTCCTCCTCCTTCTCCCTCTCCTCCTCATCCTCCTCGTCCTCGTCCTCATCATCATCCTCATCCTCATCCTCATCCTCGTCCTGCCTCTTCTTCTGGCCTCCTCCATCATCCCCCTTGAGCCTCCTGCCTCCTGCTGGGGCCTCAATGGGCCTCCCGTTGCCCCCGTTGAGCCTCCAGGGGCTCCTGGAGCCTGGCCTCCTTCTCCTGCTGCCCAGGCCTCGAGGGTTCTGCTGGGGCCTCGAGGGTTCTGCTGGGGTCTCGAGGGTTCAGCTGGAGCCTCGCGGGGCCTTCCGTGGCCTCCCTCTCCTCCTCCTCCTCATCCTCCTCCTCCTCCTCCTCCTCCTCGTCCTGGTCCTCCTCCTTCTCCTCCTCCTCCTCCTCCTCCTCCTCCTCTTGCCTCTTCCTCCTCCTCCTCCTGGTCCTGGAGAACTCTTGGGGCCTCCTGGCCTCCTAGGGCTTCCTGGTGGCTCCGGGGCCTCCTGCGGCCTCCGGAGCCTCCTGCGGCGTCCTGGGGCCTCCTGGAGTTCCCTGTGGCTTCCTGAAGCTGGGGTGTCCTGTGACCTTCGGAATCTTTCCGAGGGTTCCCGCTCGAGACTTCCTCGCGATTCACTCACCGACAAGGCTCCCGCTTGAGAATTCCTCCAGATATCAAACCTGGGGAAGCAAGGAGTGACGCAGTTACAGAATTTAGATGACACCCTACAGCATGGAAGTGGGGATCCGATAGGGAGGGCAGATTCATGCTGGAGGAGCCCAATTACCAACATGAAATGCCGGCCCCATTGGGAGGGGCCCCAAGCTTGAGACGTCCTCACGATTTGCCCCCTTGGGGTGCTCAAGTTGTATGCCTGGTATAGTTTGCCGATGACCCGCTCGGATTACCAACATGAAGTGCGGGCCCCATAAAGAGGTGGCTCCCGCCTGAAAATTCCTTGCAAGTCACTCACTGACTAGGCCCCCGCCTGCGACATCCTCACGATTTGCCTGTTTGAGGTGCCCAAGTGCTATGCCTGGTGAAGGTGGCGGATGACCCGCTCGAGTTGCCAACATGATGTGCGGGCCTCATGGGGAAGGGGATCCCGCTTGAGAGTTCCTTACAATTCACTCACAAAGATAGGCCCCCGACCCCCGACTGAGACACCCTCACGACTTGTCCTCTTGGGGAGCTCATGTATTATGGTTCGTACAGTTTGCCGATGACCAACTTGGATTACTAACATGAAGTGCGGCCCCATAGGGCGGGGGCTCCCGCTTGAGACATCCATGCAGTTCACTCGCACACGAGGCCCCCGCTTGAGACATCCTCACGAGTTGCCCCCTTGGGGTGCTCAAGTGGTATGCCTGGTATAGTTTGCCGATGACCCGCTCGGATTGAAAACATGAAGTATTGGCCCCATATTGAGGGGGGTCCCGCCTGAGACTTCCTTGCAATTCGCTCACAGACGAGGCCTCCGCTTGAGACGTCCTACCAATTTGTCATTCGGGGTGCTCAAGTGCTATGCCTGATAGAGTTTGCCGATGACCTGCCCGGGTTGCCAACATGACCTGGGGACCTCATACGGAGGGGGGTCCCGATCGAGATTCCTCTCAAGGTAAGCATGTGTGTATGGTGATGATGACGGTGATGATACTGATAATGATGAAAATGATGGTGATGCTGATGATGATGGTGCTGCTGATGATGCTGATGTTGATGATGCTGGTTGTGTTGCTGCTGCTGATGATGATGCTGATAATGATGCTGATGCAGATGCTGCTGCTGATGATGATGATGAGGGTGGTGATGCGTATGCTGATGCTGATGCTGCTGATGATGATGCCGATGCTGATAAGTACATTGTGGTGGTAAATAAGTGTGTGAACTGAGTGAGTGCGAGTGAATGCGCGATTGTGAGTGAGATGATGATGATGATGATGATGATGATGATGATGATGCTGATGCTGATGATGATGATGATGATGATGCCGATGATGCTGATGATGATGGCGATGATGATGATGATGATGATGACGATGATGATGATGATGATGATGATGATGATGATGATTATGGTTGCATTTTGGATGCTGCTGATGATGATGGTGTTAATGATGATGCTGATGCGAATGCTGTGTGGATGAGTATGATGATGCTGATTGTGATGATGATGATGATGATGAGGAGGAGGAGGAGGAGGACGAGGATGCGTGGGTGTGTGAGTATGTGAGTGTAGAAGAGAGGGAAGGATGAGGAGAAGGAGGAGGAGGAGGAGGAGGGGGAGGAGGAGGAGGAGGAGGAGGAGGCGGAGGAGGAGGAGGAGGAGAAAGAGGAGATCCTGCGCGGGGGGGGGGGGGCAGAGAAAACAACAAAGCCACTTAGGATGTCGGGAAAACCAGAGAAGGACCTGCGGCGATAGATGCGTCCGCGTCATGGGGTCGGGGAGCCCTTGGAGGCCCACGTCGTGAGAGGCAGTCACGACGTCGGAGGTCTTCGTGGCTGGCCCTCGGAGAGGCCCCCCTTGCGGCTCGCATCTCACACGGCGGTTCCGACGCTGCGGAGCCAAGCGCTCTTGTACAGTGAGCGGCTCGAGTAAGGAACACTTACTTTTCAAAAGGGGCTCGGTCGTTCCTTAGGCTTGCATGCGTTATTTACAGCTGCTTATGCGTTATGTGTTATGTATCGTTCCTTATGCGTTATTCCTTGGGATAAAAAAAGGGGCTTCGTTCCTTATTCTCGTTCCTTAGGTCGGGCCGATGACTGTACTCGGCGGCGGCAGGTGTGCTCTCGTTCCGCACCCTCACGATCTCCGCGCGCCGCCTGCCCGCATTTCCATCTCCGCGGCCGCCCTCGTCGTCTCCCGCCGCTCAGCTGCCCTGATACACGCTCGTGCTAACACGCAGCACACTGCCCGTTCAGAACGCTCGTGCCAACCCGCTGCGTGTTGGCCCGGCACGCGTTGGTCCACGTCCTGTCGGGGCTCAAGATCTGCACGAACGAAATGGGCACGGAAAGAATGGGTACGATGCCCAACAGCAGTTCCTGTTCATTTTGAACAGGATTCGCTGTCCAAGCGGCCGCGGCCCGTGTCCATTCGAGACAGAAGGCCGCCTGCCCAACAGCGGCCGCTGATGGTTTGGGACAACAATTGTTGTTGGGCATTGTGCCCATTCTTTCGGTACCCATGTCGGGTGTCCAAACAAGAGGCAGGTGTCAAAGCAAACGGGGGTCAGCCAAAGCGCCGGATCCTGCAGGATCCTGCGGGGCCGGGGGTGCACGGACCTGGGCTCGGGTGCAGGGTCCTGCAGGATCCTGCAGGAGTTTACAGGACCCTGCAGAGCCTGGTTGACCCGGGCTTCCATTGCCCCAGATCAACAGGTCCCCGATTTGGGCATCGCGCCAGACCCACGTTTTCAGCTTTCGCGTTGAGCTCCGTGGCAACACGGCACAAGTTACGTGCTGCGCCTCGGGCCAGCGACGTTCCTCTGTGGTGTGCGAGGCGCCGCTCTGCAGCCCAGCCTCGGCTCTCCCGCGCCGCGCGCTCGCCGGGCGCCGCGACAGCGCAAATGTGCTCGGTCGCCCCGCCCTTCGCATGTTGCGGCGCACCCAGGGCCACGGAGAGGCCACGTCTGCAGCCGAAGCCCAGAAAGGACGCAGCGCGTCGCGAAGCTGCCCTCACATCGTTGTCTCTCCGTTGCGTCCTTGCCCAGCCTGCCTTCTAGCATGGACCTCCAATAGTCTTGCACCCTTATCTTTACTGATGGCTTCACTGTACACAGCCGACCGTTCCTCACGGTGGCGGAGAATCGTGATCCGATCCCGACGTGTTCTGCCAGAACCGTGTCCGCAGGTGGCAGCGCGAGAGAGGTGGTGTCTGGGCGGGCGGGCGAAGAAAGACGGCCGGGGAGGTTGCGATGCGACTCAGACCTCCAACGCATTGAACAATTCAAGGCGGTTTTTTTCTTTTTTTTCTCACACCACAGCATCGAACACCACACAATCCGGCAAGCGACCGCCCAGAAAACCGAAGACGGGTGAACCATTGCATCTACGAAGCCAAAGCGCGAGGCAAATCAGGTACAAAGGAGGAGGAGGAGGAGGAGGAGGAGGATGAGGGAAGAGGAAACGCAGCTCACAGAACCTGCAAGTCTGCCATGGGGCAGAGAGGCTCACGCTGCGTTCGCGGGAGGTCCCCCCACGCTCCGACGACACTCCTAGCTACCGCTGTCTGAAGTGCGATGCCTAAGATACCCCACCATCGCCTACTTTTGCGCCGAACGCCGTTTCCGGGCTCCAGAACAGTCAACAAATCATCGGGGACGAAAGGGCGGTCGCTGGGAAGCGCTGGGTCTCGGGGCCAGCGCATTGAAACACTCAGCATATCGGAGGTCTGGGGGGGGGGGGGAGATCGCGACGCAGATGCGGCGAGGCTACGGAGGGACCCTGCCCACGAAGCCCAATTTTCCCTCCTTCGACGGCACTGAGTACGGGCCGGATGGGACGATGATCGACACGGAGAAGGCTTCCGGACGCCCGCAGCGGTCAGTCAGATTTCAGGGTCGTCGTTGCCGTCGTCATCGAGCAGGGGGTGTGACACAGAAGTTGGAGAGGAGTGAGGAGGAGGAGGAGGAGGAGGAGGAGGAGGAGGAGGAGAAGAAGAAGGGCAAGTACTTGACAAGACAGGGGTTGCAAACGGGCCAGGAGTAGGAAGAGGCTGTGGGCGCTTGACGGGGCGATTGAAGGCAGCACATGCAGGCAAGCGAAAGTAGCACAAGCGGGGGTGGAGGAGGACGACGACGAGCAAGAGCAAGGGCAAAAGGAGGAGCAGCAGCGGGAGTGATTGCACGGGATCGAGCAGAGGAGAAGGAGGAGATGATCACTGCTTGCCGAAATCGTGCTGCACCCCAGTGGTGATGAGATGCGCGTGGACCTGGTCGCTGCTCGGCTACCCCCTCCTGCTCGCCGGGACCACGTGCGCCCCTTCGCGTGGTGGGCAAGAGACCGGACGTGGCATCGCTCGGACGTGCGCCTCCTTCTCGGCGAGGGCCGTCGAGGAGCAGCCCGCAGCCTCGAGCCACGAAGCGCGCGCACGAGGCCGGCAGACGCGCAGGGGATGGGCGTCGGATCTGGACGCCCGAAATGGGTACCGAAAGAAGGGGTACAATGCCCAACAGCAGTTCCTGTTCATTTTTGAACAGGACTCGCTGTCCGCGCCGCCGCGGCCCGTGTCCATTTGAGACAGAAGGCCGCCTGCCCAACAGCGGGCCGCTGTTGGTTTGGGACAACATTTGTTGTTGGGCATTGTGCCCATTTTTGTCCGTACCCATTTCGGGTGTCCAAAACGATGGGGGACGCGTGGGAATTTGTGTCCGAGGGCGATCGAGGGTGAGGATGGGGTCGGGTCCTCTGCCCAAAAGAGTCTGCCAGAGGGTGGGCCCGAAGGCCCAACGGGGGCTCCCACTTCGCCCGCGGGGGGGCCAACAGGATACGGTCGAAACCCATGGCAAGGATGGGCAGCCTTCCCACGGGCGTCCAAATTGGAGCGGCGGCGAGTGGACGCCGAGAGGCCGAGGCATGGAGGCCGAAGGGGCGCGGGCCCGGAAACGCCCGGGGCCGCGGCGCGGCGCGAGTGGCCCAGGGGTTTTGGCCTCGGCGCCGCGTTCCCGCGCGACGCCGGGTGCAGCAGGCCCTGCGGCGGGCTCGGGGAGGAGCGCGTCGGGACGATCGAGGCATCCTCCTTACTCGTCTCGAGCTGCCCGTCCTCGCGGGCGGAGGGGGAGGAGGAGGAGGAGGAGGAGGAGGAGGAGGAGGAGGAGGAGGAGGAGGGGGAGAAGGAGGAGAAGGAGAAGGAGAAGGAGGAGGAGCACGTCGGGTACGGAGAGACCGGCAGCATATCCTGCCCATCTCGAGCAGGACTCGCCGCATCGCCGCGGACGTGGCCCGCCCGAGACGAGACGGCCGCCTGCTCAACAGAGGCCCCCGTCGGTTTGGGGCCACATCTGCTGCTGGGCGCACTCCACCCGGTTGTGCCGCACCAGCCTTTGGGGCGTCCAGCGCAGGGGAAGAGAGCAGGCGGGAGCATGTTCGGCGCTGCCGGGGGGGGAAAATGGGCTCCTAGGGGGGGGGCCGGGGAGCGATAGGCTCACGAGGGGGGGGTGAGGGCGCGTCGACCGCCCAGCGCTGGGCATTCGACCCGGCTGTGCCGTACCGGTTTTGGGGGCGTCCACAGGGGAAGATAGCAGGCGGGAGCATGTTCGGCGCTGCTCCCTCCTCCTCCTCCTCCTCCTCCTCCTCCTCCTCCTCCTCCTCCTCCTCCTCCTCCTCCTCTCCTCCTTCCTCCTCCTCCTCCTCCTCCTCCTGGGCTCAGCAGGGGGGGGGGCCGGGGAGCGACGGGCTCTCATGAGGGGGGGGGGGAGGGCGCGTCGACCGCCCAGCGCCCGCGCCTCCTCGAGAGGGGCCCCGATGGCCCGCCCCGCCCAGGAGCGCGCGCGATGTTCCGCGCGGTCGGGGGCCTGCTCGCCGGTCTATCGGCGAAGTATCGCCGATTCCAGCGCGGCGCTTCCCCTCTGGACGCCCGAAATGGGTACCGAAAGAAGGGGTACAATGCCCAACAGCAGTTCCTGTTCTTTTTGAACAGGACTCGCTGTCCGCGCCGCCGCGGCCTGTGCCCATTTAAAACAGGAGGCCGCCGGCCCAACAGCGGCCGTTGTTGGTTTGGGACAGCATTTGTTGTTGGGCATTGTACCCATTCTTTCCGTGCCCATTTCGGGCGTCCAAATCCCCCCCCCGAACTGGTCCCCCCCCCCCCGCCCCCCTCCACCGCTCCCCCCTCAGGAAGGTGCCTGGCGGGAGCGGGAGGAGGACGGGGAGGACGTCCAGCTCTTCCTTTACCAGCCTGGAGCATATCCCTATCCCTATGCTGGGCACCTCCTCATCACGATGCCAATCTTAGGGGTTCCCTTATTTTTCGAGGGCGAATCCCTAAGATTGTCATCGCCTTTCGGCGTGTCATTCTTAGGGATAGGGATAGGGATACGTTCGAGGCTGGTAATTCTTCCCACGATCCCCGCCCCCCTCGTCCCAGAGCATGCGGAGGCGGGGCAAGCCTCGTGGCTCCGCACGTGGGCTCCGAGCAGAAGGGGCAGCCACAGAGCTCTTGTCCACACCAGTCGGTTCGCGGTTGCTTACCAGCCTCGAACGTATCCCTGTCCCTAAGATTGACACGCCAAAAGGCGATGACAATCTTAGGGATTCGCCCTCAAACAATAAGGGAATCCCTAAGATTGGAATCGTGATGAGGAGATGCCCAGCATAGGGATAGGGATATGCTCCAGGCTGGTAAGTTGCAGAAAGCGTCGGTTTGCAACCGGGGCGGCGCCGAGATGGGTGCACTGGCGCCACTTGTAGTCAGGAAGCTAAGTCATTACTGCAAGCTGCTCCAGTGCATGTCAGCTGGCGTGCCAGCTTGATCAGCAGGAGGAGAGCGACGTCTTGGAGGAGGGCGAGTCGGCAGAGAAGGCGAGTGCGGGCGGTGCCGCCAGGATTTCCACGTGGCCGTCTCCTTCCCGAAGGGCAAGAACGGGAAGCTGAAGGGCATGGCCGTCGAGCTGTCGCAGGAGCGGCGTCTCTGAATGCGCCTCGCCAGATCAGGCGCCGCCGCTCTCGAGCGGCCGTCTTACATGCGGGAAGCTATTCCATACACCGTGAACTGAACGGCCGGATGTACGAGTTCGTGTGCACTCAAATGCGTGCACGTGCATGTAAATGTGTATGGGCGCCGGCCCAACCCCGGTCGATCATCCTCAAATTGGGGATGCCGCTGTCGGCGTGTCGGGGGAGCGCGCCGATGTCGGCCAGATTTGGGGCCCTGGAAGGGGCCCGAGACCCTCGAGGTCTCCACGGTCGGCTGCACGAACACGGCCAGCGTCCAGAAACTCGTCCCGCATGTTATACATGCTCACATACATAGCTAGATACATGCATGTATACCTGCATAAACACCTACAGGTATGCATACATGCATGCATGCATGTACGCATGCATACAATCGTACATGTATGTACGTACACACATACATACAACCATACATACAACCATACATACATACATACATACATGCATGCATACATACATACATACATACTTACTTATTTACTTACATACATGCATGCATGCATGCATGCATACATACATGCATGCATGCATGCATACATACATACATGCATACATACATGCACGCATACATGCTTGCATGCATGCACACATACACACATTCAAACATGCGTGCATGCATACATACACGCATACGCGCACGCACGCATGCATGAATGCATGCATGCATGCATGCACACATACATGCATGCATACATACACACAAACATACATACGCCCATACGTGCATAAACACCTACATACATGCATGCAGACACGAATGTATGCATACGCCCGTACTTGCACACCAACATACGAACATACACATATACACATGCACACGTACATACATACATACATACATACATACATACATACATACATACATACATACATACACACATACATACATACATACATGCATGCATGCATACATACATACATACATACATACATGCCTATGTATATACAGGCCTACATGCATACATATATACATGCATGCATACATGCAGTCATGCATGCATGCATACATGCATACATACGTACATACATACATACATACATACATACAGACAGACACACATACATACATACATGCATGCATACATACATACATACGTACATACATACATACATGCATGCATACATACATATGTACATTTGCAGGCGCATGTATACATGCATGCATGCATGTAAACACACATACCTAGCCATACATACAGCCATACATACATGCATGCCTACATGCATTGCAACATACATTTGTTCATACATATATATATATAGATATATGTGTATATATATATATGTACAGTGCAGTGACGCTTCGCGCTATGCACCTTAGCCCTTTAAGTGCTGCACGGGCGAAATGAGAGACAGAGCGAAAGAGAGCGAAAGAGGGACAGGGGGAGCGATACAATATGTCCTCGTCTCTGTTTTCGCGTATTCGTGATAGTTCCCCGTTTTCCCCTATCGTCGTCTTTCTTGTTATTCTTACTCGTTCGCGCTATTCTCTGCGAACCCCTTCCCGTCCTCAGTTGTTTACGGACCCATCCTCATTTGTTCTGCGGAGGCCCCTTCGAAGGCTTATTAGGGCTTGTTGGGGGCCTCTGGAGGCCTCCTGAACGTCTTATGCGTGCCTCTGGGGGCTTCTTGGGGCTACCAGGCTGCCCGGCGCGGTTTCCCTCAACGACCGGGTCCCGATTTGGAGTGTTTGGAGGGGCGTATTGGGGCTAGCTTTGTCCGTCGTGGAGTCTTCGCGGGGCCACCCTGCAGCTTGTTGGGAGATATTGGGGCTCTCTTGGGCCGTCTTGACGCAGCTTCAGCCAGTCTTGGGGTGATCTTCACCACCCACCAAACCACCCCAACCCAACCCGAAGGCTCAGATTTACCCCCGATTTCTAGTGGGGGGGGGTCCGGGAACATCGAAAAAACACGTATGGAGCCCATACTCCCCCCAACCCGAAATTCGGGTCTTCGGGTTGGGTTGGGGTGGTCTGGTAGGTAGTCAGATCTTGGAGGACTCTCGGGCGGTCCCAGACGCCCAGAAGATCGAAGAGCCGAGCATTTGAAAATTGAGCACCGACCAAGACATGATCATAGTTTCTTTGGCGTTCCAGAGGCCTCTTCGGATTATTCTTTGAACCGTCTTCGGGCGTCTGGTGGGTGTGTGGGGGGCCGCTTGGGTCTCTCGTGGGGCTGTTTGGGCGCTCTCCTGACCGCTTTGGGCTCGCTGGCTAAGCCTGGCAGGGACGTCCAGGAAGCCCAGAAGTCATGGGAGACCCTCGGCCAGGACGTCCTGAAGGCCCCCAGGAGAGCCCCAAGAGGTACCGAAGAGCGGCCAAGAGGCCCCCGAGAAGGCCCACGAACTCTTCAAGACTGCCCAAGATTGCCTCAACACGGCCCAGGAGGCCTCCACCCCAAGACGCCCCAAGAAAGCTCCAAGGTGTCCCCGAAGAGTACCTCAGGAGGCAAGCATCGCTACAATATCTGAGGAAAAGCCCGCCCACTGCCACACGAGGCCCCCTCAGACCGCCAGAGGGCTTGACAATGCTTCCAGGAAGCCCCCAAGAGGCCAACAGGAGACCCCACGAGGCCCCCAACCGGACCCCAAGGGGCCTCACAACTACTTCCGAGAGACTCCTCAGAGCTTCCCTCGGAGACCCCAACGACAGCTCAGGTGTCTGAAGAAGCCCCCCCCACCCAAGCCCCAAATGGCCCGGCACCTCTTTCCGCTTTTATCCTTGCTCTCCTCCTTCCTGCTCCCTCGTCCCTCCTTCGACACCCTCGGAAATTCGTGACCCTACCTCCCCGTTCTTCCTCTCCCTCCTTGCGGCCGCGGCCAAGGAGAACTCCGTACGAGCAGGAGGAATAGATTAAGAGAAAGCAACACACATGCTGTCCTTCTAGGGGGCGTCGCACTTGTTGTTCTATATGCGCAGATGTCTGTACATGTGCAGCTGTGGTTATGTCGAGGGACGCGGCGCGCTAGAACAACTTGGATTTCAGCGTGTATGAGCATATTCAGTTTTACACAATTATTCAGATGTACGTGTGTGTATCTGAACGTGTATATATGTATATCTATGTGGGTCTGTATATGTAGGTATGTGTATAGACATGTGTGCAAAGGCCATTCGTCTCCGTTTTGAGCACATTGACGCAAAGCAGCTCCTGGGGCCTTCCGGAAAGTTGGAGCCGCTGGGTTCTTTTCGGGGGCCCCCAAACGGTGTGGTGACCACACCGTGCGGTGAGTCGGTGGGGATTCGGGGTCACCGCACGGTTTTGGGACTCGAGTCCTTCTGCGTGAATGTCTCGGGCGACAGGGGCCTCCAGGGTCCCAAGACCGTGCGGTGACGGACCGTGCGGTGAGGTCTTGGGGGGTTTCGAGGTCAACGCACGGTCTGTCACCGCACCGTTTCGGGACTCCGAATCTTTGGGAGGTACGGACCCTGTGTGCGGGTGCACCCGAGGATGGCAAGCCGTCGATGGAGCAGCCCCTGTTTATGCACCTGTACGCCTACGAGGGCAGCCTCTACACGGAGCCAGGCGGTGGCGGCGGCCTCAAGGTGGAGAACGGCATGGACAAGGTCGAGAGGCCCGCAGCGGCCCCTTCGGGTGCCTCGAGGGTCCTCCTCCTTCTCCTCCTTCCTCCTCCTCCTCTGTCCTCCTCCTCCTCCTCATCCTCCCTCCCCCTCCTCCTCCTCCTCCTCGTCCACCTCCTCCTCCTGGTCTCCTGGGACGGGCTACGGCATGAGCGCACGTCGCCGACGGGCCGCTTGTTCGGTGCCATCGGCATGGGTACAGAGCGAATGGGGGCGAAGACCGACTGCAGGTCCTGCCACTTTTGAACGGGACTTGCTGCCGGCGCCGCTGCGGACACAGACCGTTTTGGCCAGAAAGTCGCCTGCCCAACAGCCACCGCAACTGCTGTTTGGCAAGAATCGGCTTTGGGCAGTGTGGAAATGTGTTTCCGTACCCGTGTCCGGCGTACCATTATGGTCTCTCCATTGGTATCGGTACAAGCCGGCCGTTGAAAGTAGGTATTGTTGGATTCCCAGATCCCAATCTACTTCAAGCGCCTTCCTACTTCAAGAATCGACACGCTTTTGCTGTGTCTTGTTGTTCTCTGGGGGGGCCTGGGCCCAATCGACTTTATCCGCCTTCCTACTTCGTGTTTGTTTCCTACTTCTTCCGACCGACGTGTAAGCGTTGACAGAAGCGTGCTCGTGTGTTGTCCTGGTAGTCTTGCCACAGAGGGAAAGACAGCACCACAAGCGAACGAGCATGTGGCATTCGCCCGGCCAAGAGTGTGTTGGTTGTGCCTCTTATCTTCGGGCGCCCTCCTCGTGACCCGAGAGAGAGAGAGAGAACAACAAAAAGAGGGAGAGATAATCAGAGAGGGAGGGATATGCTCTCGATATGTACGCAAGTGCATGCCTGTCTCACCATGCACAGATGTATCCCGGATCTGACTGTACGTCGGCACGCATGCAGTCGGACCGAGCCATAGGATCGAGGTGTGGCGCGGGGAGGGATCCCTAGTGTTCTTCGTGTTTGTTGGATGTTATTGTGCACCCTGGGGAGTGTACCCTTGGATGTTTTGTTTGTTCTGGCCGATAGAGGCTCTGATGTTATTGAGGAGTGTTCTTCTGGCCTAGATCCGATTTGCAGAAACTACAGGCCTCACTGTGGCGCAGCAGACGCGCCTCATCCACCGTACACCTTCAGATTCCTTCGCCGGCTGATCCCATGATTGTTTGTAGCAAGGCCCGCCCATGTTGCAATCGTTGGTTGCACGCGACGGCCTTTCCTCCGATTCTCTCTCTCTCTCTCTCTCTCTCGGCTGTGGTGTCATCCTGACGCGGCCATCCCCCACCCCCCAGGCCGGCCCTGGGGCGATGTCGATCAAATTGGTTTGCTTCGCGACCGATTGGGCGGAGCCCGCGCCCGTCAGCGGGTCCTCCTCCTCCTCCTCCTCCTCCTCCTCCTCCGCCTCCTCCTCCGCCTCCTCCGCCTCCTCCGCCTCCTCCTCCTCCTCCGCCTCCTCCTCCGCCTCCTCCTCCTCCTCCTCCTCATCCTCCCTCCCTCGTGGCGCCCCCAGGGGGCGTTGTGCCCATGGGGGGGTCCCCGCCGCTCCCCGCGGGGGCGCGGCAGCCCCGGGCCCCGCCGCGGGCCCAGCTCCCCCCCCCCTTCCAGGGCCGCCCCTCCTCCTCCTCCTCCTCCTCCTCCTCCTCCTCCTCCTCCTCCTCCTCCTCCTCCTCCTCCTCCTCCTTCTCCTCCCCCCGTGGGAGGGCGGCCCGCTCACCCTGGAGGGGGGCGACGGCGGTGGCGGTGCCTGCGCCGTGGTCCAAGTGCAGGAGGCGGCCGTTGTGGCGTGGCACTGGGGCGGTGGTGGTGATGGTGGTGGTGGTAGTGGTGGCGGTGGTGGTGGTGGTGGTGGTGGTGGTGGCGGTGGTGGTGGGTCGTGAGGTGGGTGCTGGGAGGGCGTGGGGCGAGGGGATGCCAAGGTTGCGCGCGGGAGGGCGGAGGGTGCTGCCGGGCATGCCGCGCAGCCCTTGTGCCGCCCTGAGGCTCGACACTGTTTGAGCGGGGGCCTCGCCGCCAAGAGCCGAGGCTCGCGCTGGCCAGGGGGCGAGGGTGTGGGCAGGGCATCAGACGCTGCGGCGCTGCTGGTCGCAGACCAGGCCATCACCTCGTGATAGTGCTGGTCTCCCCTTGGTGGCAGTGCTGCTTGTTGCAGTCGTCGCGCTGCTGCTCGCGGAGTCACAGTGCACGTGGTGCTGCTGCTAGTCGCTGAGTAACTACTTAGGGCGTAGGGGTAGGGCGCCGTCGTGGTGCTGTTGTCCGCAACCCCTGGTGATGCTGATCGTACGTCGATGTGGACAGTCGGGAGCCATCAGTCGTGCCAGGCTCGGAAGCCATGCTGGCGTCGATGCTGGAGCCGATGTGTGTTTTGTGATCGCGTAGATACTGGCCCCGGTGCTGGAGGCCGTGCTGGGTTATGGCATTATGTCGCGTAGCAGTTGCAGAGGTAACTCACCACCGCTTTCATTTGAGAGCGTCAAGTGATTCGGGCGTGCAAGTTCAACGTGCAACAGCTCGTCTGTCCTGTTCGAGATCCTCATGCGTTATGGCGTGGGCGAAACAGGTGCGAATCGTTATGCACGAATGCTGTCACTGGGGCGTCCACGCCGTACGGTCGGACCTACGACAACATAACACCCTTCAAGAACACGAGACCCTCCGCTGGCCAAGACACACAGGACATCCAAGGGAACCCTCCCGCCAGGATGCACGAGAACATCCAGCAAGCACGAAGAACAATAGGGTAGCAACCCTCCCCGAACTGGCTTCGATCTTATACCTCCTTTGCATCGCTCGGACGTGTGCGTGTTCTCTCGGCGAGGACCATCGAGGAGCTTGTTGGATCATCCTGCGAGAAGATACACGCACGAAGCCGAACATGCATTTGAAATGGACGTCCGAGCGATGGCGAGCCTTAGTCCGACCGCAATCCGAGAGAAGCTTCCAGATCCGCCGGCGGTGCATTCCTCCCCAGGTGCACACACCCCAGGGGGGACGTCAGGACGAGGCACCCCGGGCTCACGGGAGCAGGCGCGGGGGGGGGGGCGAGGGGGGGCCCTTCTGCGGCCCCACCTCAGGAACTCGAGAGCGCTCTACCCCCCTCACATAAAAAAACAAGGAGGAGGAGGAGGAGGAGGAGGAGGAGGAGGGGAGGGGGAGGGGGAGGGGGAGGAGGGCGGAGGAGGAGGAGCAGGAGCAGGAGCAGGAGGAGGAGGAGGAGGAGCAAGAGCAGGAAGAGGAGGAGGAGGAGGAGGAGGAGGAGGAGGAGGAGCAGGAGGAGGAGAAGGAGGAGGAGCAAGAGCAGGAGGAGGAGCAGGAGGAGGAGGAGTAGAGGAGGAGGAGGAGGAGGAGGAAGGAGGAGGAGGAGGAGGGGCGGCCCTGGAAGGGGGGGGGGGAGCTGGGCCCGCGGCGGGGCCCACGAGGAGGAGGAGGAGGAGGAGGAGGAGGAGGAGAGGAGGAGGGAGAAGGAGGAGGAGGAGGAGGAGGAGGAGGAGGAGGAGGGAGGGAGGTGTTGATGGGGGAGAAAGGAAGAGGGGGATCCCCCCACGCGCCACGCGCCCTGCCCCGGCGGCCGCGCACCTCCAAGTGGGGCGCGGGCGGAGGGCCGCGGAGCGGTCCGAGGCGAAAAGGCCCCGCCCCCCTCGGAGGGCACGCGTCCTCCTCCTCCTCCTCCTCCTCCTCCTCCTCCTCCTCCTCCCTCTCTCCTCCTCCTGCTCCTCCTCCTCCTCCTCCTCCTCCTCCTCCTCCTCCTCCTCCTCCTCCTCCTCCTCCTCCTCCTCCCCCTCCTCCTCCCCCTCCTCGTGGGGGGTCCACGCCCCCGCGCCCGCCGAGGCGCATGAACGACGGCGTCACGATGCTGAGCTCCCTGTGGTCCGGGGGCATGCGGCGGCCTCGGGCCGCCCACGTGCGGCGTTGTGGCGGAGGGGGGCGGTGGGCGGGGGAGGAGGAGGGGGAGGGGGGCGGCGAGGGCGAAGGGGGAGGAGCGGCGGGAGGCGGAGGAGGCGGTGGAGGAGCAGGGGGATGGGAAGAGGGAGGGGGGGGGGGATGGAGGGAGAGATGGAGGGAGGGAGGGGAGGAGGGAGACAGAGGAGGGAGACAAAGGAGGGAGACAGAGGAGGGAGGGCGGGGGGAGGAGGGAGGCGGAGGACGAGGGAGGACGAGGGGATGAGCGTGACGAGCAGGGGCAGGCGAGCCGAAGACAGGATGGGGGACGACGAGGACTCCTCCGAGAGGTCGTGGCGGATTGGGCTTGCCACGACTGCACGTGTGACGGGCGAGCGTTCGCTCGACAGCATATCTGGTTCTCATAGCGGCCCCCACAAGTGCCAATGGGGGCACCAAGCCCGCGATTCCTCGGCGGGGGGGAGGAGGAGGAGGAGGAGGAGGAGGAGGAGGAGGAGGAGGAGGAGGAGGAGGAGGAGGAGGAGGAGGCGGAGCCGAGGGAGGAGGAGGTGGACGAGCAGCAGCGGCAGGAGGTGCAGGGGGGCCAGTGCAGGAGGAGGAGGAGGAGGAGGAGGAGGAGGAGGAGGAGGAGGACCAGAGCAAACCAAGGCTGCATCCCCCTCCGCGCACGCGTTCTAATGTGCCAAAAGACCGCCGACCGCATGTTGGATATCCCCCTTTCCCACCTGCACATTTGAAAACACGTTCCAAACGCGCACGTGCCAGACGCAAACTGGATACCCCCCCTTCGCACACGTGCATTCACGTGTGAAGAATTCGCCGAGCGTATGTTGGATGCCTTCTTTGGCGCTGCCACATGTGGCAAAGACATGACCAAAGCGCACGCGCCAGACATATGTTGGAACCCGCCGATCACATCCTGGATACCCCCTTGGGGCATGGACACGTGAAAGCACGTGCCAAGCGCGCATGTTGCAGACTCATGTTGGATATATTTCCCCCCGGCGCAGGTATTCTTACATGCGAAGAATCCGCCGACCGCATCCTGGATATCTTCCTGAGGGCCTGCAAGCGAGAACAACTTGCCAAGCGCTCACTCGCCAGGCGCATGTTGGATACCCCCTCCGCGCACGTATTTTTACGTGTGAAAGCATCCGCCGCATCAATGTTGGATATCACCCCTGGCGTTTTGGACGCGTGAAAAGGCGTGCCAAACTCGCACGCGCCAGACGCATGTTGGATGCCCCTTGCGCGCACGAATTCGCGTATCAAGAATCCGCCGCTACAGTGCATTGTGGCGTTCGTGGCGACGAAAACATGTGAAGCACAATTGCCAGACGCTGGCGTGCATGTTGGATACTTCCCTCTTTCCCGCACACGCTTTCTGTCCGTGCCAAGATCCGCCGACGCCACCAGCTTGACACCCGTCCAGTCTTGGGCCGAATAATTGCCCACTGAAAAAGGGTTCTGGGCCAGAGCCCTTGCCAGGAGCCTGAGGGTTGTCGAGGATGTTGGTATTTGGAGGCCCTTGTGGGAGTCTTCTCTCAGGAGGAGAAGAAGATCACAGACACAAAGAAACGCCGATTCCCAGGAAGGTCCGGGAAAATATCCGAAGTGAAGGGGAAGACGAACGTTCAGACACAAACACACACACACATACACACACACACACACGCATTCGCCAGCGCCGACGCCAGCACCGACACCAGCATGAAGGCTACGCCGGCACCGACGACAACGCCTACGCCAGCGCCGACGTCAGCCCGTAAGCCAGCATCCACACCTGCGCCTACGCCGGCATCAGCGCCACCGCTTCCACAAGCGCCGACGTCAGCCCCTACGTCAGCATCCACACCGGCGCCTACGCCGGCACCAACGCGAGCGTTTCCACAGCGCCGACGCCAGCGTCCCAACATGTTCATGCAGGCGCGGGGGGAAACTTACCGACAGCGTCTTGAGCCAAACGCAGGTGGGCGCAGGGACGGATAAACCCACCATGCATTTTGTCCCAGCATGGTTCTGCAGGCGCGGGGTACTACAATGTAGACAACGACGCTTGTGTGGTGACATCTACCCGGCCGGGGACACCCGCCCCAGCACCGGGTGACGGGCATGACGGCGGGGCTCGAGCTTGTGCACGACCCCCACCTTCCACCACATCAGAGTTGAGCAACACGTTTATAGCTGGCATTGCTGAAACGAGATTGCCAAGGGGTTCACCAGGGAGGGGGGGGGGACAGTTTGTTAACCTCTCTGTCCCAGCCGCGTGGCCGATACCACCGTGCCCCTCGACTGCAGCATCGCCGGCTACATGCTGCCTGTCACGCTGGAGCCGAACATCAGACCAGGTCCCGACCCCAGCTCCTACTCCAACTTCGACTCAGACTCCAGCTCCGACGTCGACGCGGTGACGAAGGGAGGGAGGGAATCTGCTCTGGACTCGGCACGCTCCAGCATGGAGCACCCGACCAGCACGGACAATGCCTGCACCCCCATTTCTGAGGGGCGCGAGCCGCGGGTCCGACACAGGCTCCAAGCTGCCAACTCCGACTTCGGCCAAGACTGCTGTTACGACGCTGTCGCCGGCTCCTGCTCCGACGGCGGCTCAAACTACACCACGGTGTCCACCATGGTGGAGTCACGCAACGAAACGCTACGCATGAACGCGGAACGGAAACGAAACGCTACACAACGAAACGCTACGCTACCATGGTCGTCACCACGTCGTTAAGCAGATTGACGATCACAACCCAGCCACGGAGACTTCCCAAGCAGTAGGTCATTTTCCAGCCTTACGGAGTCGAAGGCTCCCATGTTGACGACCACCTATGCAATCCCATGTCATGGAGAAGGTGCGGATCAGCCCAACACGACGGCACCGTCGTCATTGGACCTTATGTGTTGAAATTCAGGTACCTGCTCATGCGGCCATTACTTGGCGCTATGATCTGTACCCGCATGCATTGGCATCCAGAGGAGGAGGAGGAGGAGACGAAGGGAGGGAGGGCATCTGCCCCGGACTCGGCACACCCCAGCATGGAGCACCCGACCAGGGCGGACAATTCCTGCCCCCCCTTTATGACCGGCGCGAGCCGCGGGTCCGACACCGGCTCCGGCGCCAGCTTCGGCCTCGGCCCCGACTGCCGTTACGACGTCGGTTCCGGCTCCTGCTCCGACCCACACAATAATTGCCGCTCCACATGCGGGTTCGCCACGGGCTCCGACGCCAGCTCCGCCTCCCCCTCCGATTGCCGATCCGACGCCAGCAATCGCGGAATCTTGACGACTGCAGGTGTGGGCACCATGTGGGTTACAACAGCGACAGGGCTGCACGACGACGCAGCGAGATAAACAATGGCCGGTAATGGTAGACGACCGACAGCTGTGACACCCACCAGAGCATCGCTGAACATAGGGCCAGACGAATACTACAGTACGAGGAATGCCGTCGCAATGTTGCATTCGATTTTTGCGAGCACACAGGATGGCACACTTTAGCGTGCTTTGACCAACAAGGCGCAACGTCGACACCATCGACTACATTATCACCGTATGCCACTGCCTCCATTGAGCGCTCCGCCACCGACCACAACGACCACAGCGCCACCTCCGACTCCTGCGCTGTAGGCTCCCGCCTCGCCACCCTCTCCGACTCCTGATCTGGCTCCGACTCCTGCCCCGGCACCAACTCCGACGGCCCCGACCCCAACTCCGACACCAGCACGCTAGCTCCGACCCCTACTCCGTCTCGTCCCCAGCAACGGCTTTCGCCCCAGCCTGTTCTCTCCCGCGGGCCCCGACTCCTGCTCCGACCCCCCACCCAGCTCAGATGGGGCGCCGGCTCCCACACACGTTCCGACTCCATCCCCGACGCCGGCTCCGACTCAAGCTCCGACAATGCCGTCCCTCACTAACTACCACGGCGGCTCCGACTCCAGTTTCTGCACCCCTTTCGCCCGCCCTGCCAGCACCGACTCCGGCACCAACCCCGACGCCAGCACCTGTTCTGTCACCAGCTCCGGCCCCCGAGCCGCCGCCTACTCCGTCTCCGACTCCATCTGCGACTTCTGACCCGGCTACGAATCCCACTCCTACCCCACTCACGATCCGGGTTTCTGGCTCTGACATCAACGCCAGGTCTAGGGAGGCGACCGTTTAGATCGCCACGACGATCCCGCCAGCATCGACTCCAGCTCCGACCCCGGCGTATCAGCCACACGACCAGGACAACTACAGGTCAGCTTTTCCACCTCCCAGTTCGTGATCTGGCACACCAGCGCAGAAGGTACTGCGTCTACATCTCCACCTGAACAGCCCTATGCATGCCGCGAGGGCCTGGCGAGGAGTTTCATGGGCGACCGGCACTGTTCGCCTTCCCCTTGCATTTTCTCTGCTTCCTTTTTGTTGCTTTCCTTCCGTACTTTTTTTCAGGCCGCCCAACACACAGGTGTTTGTGCCCTGTCGGTCCCGCCCCTGCCCGGCAGGATTCGGGCCGGCATTGTTGCGCACACCCTGCAGCAACCAGCGCAAGTTCTTGGACTGTGTCTTCCTTCCTCTCCTCCCCCCCTTCTTCCCCCTTTGTACCGCCCGTGCTCGCGAGGGTTATTGTGCGAGTGCCGTATACCTGGGTCGGCCTACGCACGCGCGAGGTTTTGTTAGGGCGTGTTCTTCCTCCTCCTCGTCGTCCTCCTCTTGTGTAGGTTCACGCTCTGGCCGGTTTACGTGGTTGTTTACGGAACTCGGAACAGCCAGTTTCAAATCCGTGCTTGGGTTTTCCACGCTCGCTCTGGCGCATGCCCCGTTGCGCACCAACGGAAAATGCATGATTACGATTGGTACTCTGGTGTGCATATGCTGTGCGGCGTTCGCCGTTCATCGGGGGAGCATTCCGCCCACGGGTCACGCTTAAACGACCCACCGTCGTTAACCAGAGGTGACGCTGAGCTGGTTGAAGTGGAAAAGAGAGAGAGAGAGAGAGA